TCGAGCTGGACCAGAAGATCACACCCCTGCTGTTAAACTACTGCCAGTGCAAGCTGCAGTGCGAGGAGTACTACGAGGTGTTGGATCACTGCTCTTCCATTCTCAACAAGTATGAGGGTAAGGAGCCATGGGCAAGGGGTGAACCAGGCTGTCCCCCTTCTCTGTGCTCCATCAGCCCAACACCCCTCTCCCCACAGACAATGTCAAGGCCTACTTCAAGCGGGCGAAGGCCCACGCGGCGGTGTGGAACGTGGCAGAGGCACAGGCTGACTTTGCCAAAGTGCTGGCCCTCGACCCCTCGCTGCGCCCCGTCGTCTCCAAGCAGCTCAAGAGCCTGGAAGCTCGTCTGCGGGAGAAGGACGCAGAGGACAAGATCCGCTTCAAGGGCATCTTCTCACAGTAGAGCCCGCGCCGCAGAGCCCACAGGTTCTTTTAGATATTCCACATGTGGAATGTTCATTGATGTTTATTAATGTTTAATACAAATCTTACTTATTTGAAGTCGGCCGGAGGGGCCCGGGAGCTCACCCGTGTCCCAGCAGTGCACTTAGGGGCAGTATTAAGCAGCATAAAGCGATGGCAGCACACGGTGGAAGTGCAAACCTAGACTGTGCTCATCAAAAAAGTGCGCATCACCACGCCAGGAAGGCCAGGTGGGGTGACACAAACTCAAGCCAGCTGCTCTCTGCTGCGTTATTTTATCCTTTCTTTGATGGTTTTATACTTTACAAGCTGTTTATGGCTGCGGTGCCAAGCCTCAGCCCCAGCTCCCCCCCCTTTGTGCCTGTATATCCTGTGTTGTCACTTCCCAAGGCTGCTGCTATCATCCCGAGCCGGTGTTTCCTCTCTACTGGATCATCGCGTCAGCGTCGTAAATATTTTATATAGAATAAGTGCTTGTTACTGCTATCTATATGTAACTCTGGTTGTGCTGTGCCAAAATGAAGTAAAACTATAGTCACAGGTCCCTGGTCACGTAGGAAAATTGCTGTTATAGGGAAAAGGGGTAAACCAAAGCTGCAGGTCAGGGGGAGGCAGCCTGGCAAGCTCTTGCCCTGGGGCCTTGCAGACTCACCGCAAAGCTGAGCCCTTACTTGCTGTGGTAAGTGCTCCCCGCCATGGATGTGTCATAGGTGCAGAAGCAAGACAGCTCGGTGTAAAAGCAGCTCTGACACCCACAGAGGCTGTGTTGGTGTGTGCCCCTCAAGCTGCAGGAGCTCAAAGCTGCGCCTGTGCTGCTGCAGCACCCCAAACCCCACAGCCCTCACCCCATGCCCAGCCCAAGGGTGACAGCGGGGTGGCTGAGCCGCCCCGGCCATGCTCTGCTTGCTGTAACCAGCACCTCCCTCTTCCTGTCCCCACACTCCCCCCATTGCTGCTCTAACACCCCAACCATCCTCTTGTGCAAGACCTACAGCTCCTGGTTGGCATCAGCACCTACCCAGAGACACCCCAGGCTGCCTTTTCCCTACCATGACGTGTCCTAAATTGCTCGTGACCCAACCGCTGCACGCCAGGACCTGTGTGACACCATGTCCCTGGGTCAGAGGCTGGGGGGTGGAAGCCCTGGTGCCGTCTGTGGCTGGGGGGTACAGAGCAGATGTGGGCTCTGGTGCCTCATCTTTACATTGCTTTATTTCACACCAAAACGGAAGAGAACAGAGGAAGCGCTTCC